GGAGGACACTGGTTGGGAAAGATTATAGACTAGAGAGCAAGGCTCAGTTTAGGTGCAACCAGAAGAGAAGACAGAAAAGTCTGCATGGGGCTGGGCATAGTGGCTCACACCTATAATACCAGCACTTTGGGAAGCTGAGGGTGGAAGATTGCTTAAGCCCAGGAGTTTGAGACCAGCCTGGACAAACATAGTGAATTCAGTCTCTAAGTAAAAATGAAAAAAATTAGCTGTGGCATGGTGGTGTGTCTGTAGTCTCAGCTATTTAGGAGGCTGAGGTAGGAGGGACCCAGAATTTGAGCCCAGAAGTTCAAGGCTGCAATGAGCTTGACATTGTTCCACTGCCCAGTGGTCTAGCCTGACAACAGAGTAAGACCCTCTCTTTCTCTTTTCTGGTTCTTTTTGTTAGAGCTTTTTTTTGAGACAGAATCTCACCTTGTCACCCAGGTTGGAGTGCCAGGTGCGATCTTGGCTCACTGCAACCTTCGCCCCGGGTTCAAGCAATTTCTCCTGCCTCAGCCTCCCGAGTAGCTGGGACTACGTGTGCTCTCGCCACTACGCCTGGCTAATTTTTTTGTTTTACTAGAGATGGGGCTTACCCATGTTAGCCAGGCTGGTGTCGATCTCCTGACCTCATGATCCGCCTGCCTTGGCCTCCCAAAGTGCTGGGATTACAGGTGTGAGCCACCGCACCTGGCCCTTTTTCTTAAAGTTTAAATTAAAATTTTTCTTTAAAATTGGCACCAGTGTTAAGTGCATTCTCAGGGCCATGTTAATCTCTGTGTTGTTCCAATTTTTTAATATATGTGCAGCTATGAGCATGAGACCCTGTCTCAAAAAAAAAAAAGGCTGCATGGTTTGACAAATGAAGAGGAGCTTCAGATAGACCATATCTTATTCCATGGTGGCTGTGACAGTCCTTAATTATGGTAGAATTCTTTGATAGCTCTTGGCTTTGTTTTTAACTCTTTTATTTTTATTTTTTATTTTTGAATTATTTCTCTCTCTCTCTTTTTTTTTTTTTTTTCAACCACTAGTCAACAGAGCTCTTGGCATTGTATTGTGTTTTCATTTCAGTTGGGAAAGGGCTTTTGCACTCTCACCAGGGTTAGTTTAATTCTTCAATCTGTGAAATTCTCATGTCCATTTGAGGTTTCTCTACTTGCCTTTATACTGAGGGAAAATGTGTCCATTTAGGAAGTCCAGTTGAAGTGGTACTTTGGGAGTCGCCTCCCTTTTTTCTCCTAGTATAGAACCTGATCTGAGCTGGGCTACTTAAACATTATATTTTTTGTGGTAAAACAACCATTTTTGCCTTCCTACCTTACATATTGCATCTTACTTCTAATTTACTTTAAAAATGTTTTTTAAAATTATATTTCAGCATATTGAAAAGTACAGAGAATAGTATTATAAATACTTGTTTATTAAACACCTTTTTGGCAAAGGTTTGCAATATTCACTTTAGGTTTTTAAAAATGTACATATATAGTTAATCCTTAGATATCCACCTTTCTTCACTCTTTTCCATTGGTTTCACAGAGGTAATCACTATTCTGAATCTAATCTTTAGTCTGATGTATGTTTATAAAATAAATTTGTTACCTATGTATAGACCTATAAATAATATGTAATAGTGTTCTTCCTCTTTTTTAAAGTTTATAAATGAAAATTTTAAAATTATCTTCCAAAAGGTTCTTTGTTAATGTTTGTACTTTTCGTTGTTTTTTTTTTTTTTTTTTTTTTTTTTTGAGACGGAGTCTGGCTTTGTCGCCCAGGCTGGAGTGCAGTGGCACCATCTGGCTCAACACAAGCTCCGCCTCCTGGGTTCTCATACCATTCTCCTGCCTCAGCCTCCCAGTAGCTGGGACTACAGGCACGCACCACCATGCCCGGCTAATTTTTGTATTTTTAGTAGAGACGGGGTTTCACCGTGTTAGCCAGGATGATCTCGATCTCCTGACCTCGTGATCCGCCCGCCTCGGCCTCCCAAAGTGTTGGGATTACAGGCGTGAGCCACTGCATCAAGCACGTTTGTACTTTTCAAACCAGGATCCAGAGAGGGTTAGTTCATTACATGTGATTGTTTTATTCTCTTAGTAACTTTTGTTCTAGAATAATGCCTGTCTTTTTTTAATGACATTGATAAAAATTGTTTGTAACAATTACTGTGTTTAAATTGAGCAACATAAGGTTGGCGCGAGCCTAAGCCTGTAATCCCAGCACTTTGGGAGGCCGAGACGGGCGGATCACGAGGTCAGGAGATCGAGGCCATCCTGGCTGGCTGGTGAAACCCCCGTCTACTAAAAATACAAAAACTAGCCGGGCGAGGTGGCGCCTGTAGTCCCAGCTACTCAGGAGGCTGAGGCAGGAGAATGGCGTAAACTCCGAGGCAGGCGGAGCTTGCGAGCTGAGATCTGGCCACTGCACTCCAACCTGGGCGACAGTGTGCTTGTGACTCCGTCTCAAAAAAAAAAAAAAAAAAAAATTGAGCAACATGGTTGGTGACATTTTTGGTCTATTCTTTTGTTCTTTTGAGAAGTGTATGTCAAAGTATATGCTTATTCTTGAACTCTCTCTGAATAGTAAAATTCCCTTGTCTTTGTGAAAAATGTCTTCATTTTCACTAATTTTGAATGATAGTTTATAGTTGGATATAGAATTTAGATTGATTGGCACTTATTTCTTTCAGACTTCGATGATATCTCATTGTTTTCTGTTGTTTTTGAGTAGCTATTTGCTGCTGGTCTAGTTGTCATTCATTTGTAGTTAGTTAATTTTTTTTTTTTTTTTTGAGACAGAGTCTTTATTACCCAGACTAGAGTGTAGGGCGGATCTCAGTCACTGGCACCTCTGCCTCCCAGGTTCAAGCAATTCTCCTGCCTAAGTTCCCGTAGCTGGGATTCCTGGTACAGCCATCACATCCAGCTAATTTTTGTATTTTTAGTGGAGCCGGGGTTTTACCATGTTGAACCACTGACCTCAAGTGATCTGCATGCTCAGTGGCCTTCCAAAGTGCTGAGATTAGCAGGCGTGAGTCATCTCATTTGTAGTTAGTTAATTTTTCTTTTCTTTTTTTTTTTTTTTTGAGAGGAGTTTCACTGTTGTTGCCCAGGCTGGAGTGCAATGGCACGATCTCGGCTCACTGCAACCTCCCTCCTGGGTTCAAGCCTTTCCTAGCTCAGGCTTCCAAGTAACTGGGGATTACAGGGGCATGTGCCACCATGCCCAGCTGACTTTTGTATTTTTAGTAGAGACGGGGTTTCACCATGTTGGCCAGGCTGGTCTCGTACTCCTGACCTTAGGTGATCCTCCCGCCTTGGCCTCCCAAAGTGCTGGGATTACAGGCATGAGTCACTGACTCGGCCTCCATTTATAGTTAGTTAATTTTTGATTTCTGGTTGCTTTTAAGATTTTCAAGGGCGTGGTGGCTCACGCGCCTGTAATCCCAGCACTTTGGGAGGCTGAGGCAGGAGGATTGCTTGAGCCTAGGAGACCAACTCTACAATATAGTGAGACCCTGTCTCTACAGAAAACACAAAAATTAGTTGGGCATGGTGGTCACTTGACTCTGTGTGGCCTCAGTTACTTGGGAGGCTGAAGTGGGAGGATCACTTGAGCCCAGTTAATCGAGGCTGTAGTGAGTCATGATTACCAGCTACTGCACTCAGCCTGGGTGACAAAGCAAGAACTTGTCTCAAAAAAAAAGAGAAATAAAAGAAAATATTTTTCTTTGTATTACGAGGTTCATTGGGATATATCTAAATGTAGTTTTTGTTTTATTTAGCCTATTTGGGATTTGTGTGTGCTTATTTATTTTGAAAGTCAGATTCTCAGTTTTAGAAACTTATTCACCAATACCTCTTAAAATATTACTTTGTTCTTTATTCTTTGATCCTCTCTTCTGAAACTCCTATTGTTGGGACTTCTGATTCTGTCTTTCGTATCTTTAACTTTCATTCATATTTACACCTTTTTTTTGTATCTCATGGCTTCATTCTAGGTATTTTTTAGATCGCTCCTCATAACTCACTGATTATCTTTTAGTTATGTTTAATTTGCTTTTGACCTTGTCTGTCTAGTATTTAGTAGTCATAGATATATACTTTTACCTCTAATCCTTTACTTACTTCTTTTCTTGTAATCTGCCTGGTTTTCATGTTGTCATCTTCTTTCATTATGGTTTCTGTTCCACTTTGGACACATACAACTGGGAAAAGCCTTTCAGAAGGTAACATGTTGAAAGAGGTCAAGCCCTTGGAATATCAGATCTTCTGTAATCCAGCCATGGCTTTCTTCATCAGTCTTATTTCCCACCATGCTTCCACTGGATGTACCCTGTGCTCCATCATAGCAGCTTGTACCTCGTTCTCTCAGTACCTTCATGCCTTCTTTTCCCCACTCTGCAGCTCTGGGCTGGATGTCTCTCCTCTGCTTCCTTAAACTCTGTACATACTGTCATAATACTGTAGAAGTATAACAACACTTTGACACATCAACATCCTTTCCTAGACTGACTTTTCGGAGGCAACCTCTCCATCTTTCATTTCTTTCTCCCATTGTTGGTATGGTAGTAGCATGTGGGTATGGTAGTAGCATGTAGTTATCTGAATGAGGTTGAAGAATAATTATGTAGGTTGACTGATATCATAAATGTGCACTGAAATATGCTAAGACTGTAACTTTTGGCCTTCTGCTGTTTTTGTGATAATCTCATGATCTGTGTATGTAAACATGAAGCATGTAACACTGGGGAATTATGATTCTTACTCTTGAGGAAACTTGTTTTAGTATTAGTCATCATTTTTGTATAAAAAGCCAGATATTCTATTACTTTTCTGCTCATCACTTTACACTTATCAATTGAATAATTATCTTTTCCTATTAGTGTTTGTGTTTCTTTTGTTTTTTGTTTTCTCTGTTTAGTTGTTCTAGGAATTTCAAGGGATCCTTGAATGTTAGAATGTACAACCTGAACTAAAGAGTAATTTTAATTTTCTTAGATACACATAAGCAACATAAACTCAAGAAAATGGTTGCAGAGGAGACAGTAATACCTTTTGGGGGAGCTCTACGATCTAGCCAACAGGTAAAACAAATTTGATTTTCTTTTGTTAAACATTTAAAAAACTCTTATTTTATAAAAACAGAGATGGACTGAGAGATGAAGCCAGCTGACTTCTGGGTTGGATGGGGACTTGGAGAACTATTCTGTCTTACAAGAGGATTGTAAAATGTACCAGTCACTGGATGTAGTAGTTGACTCCCTGTAATCCTAGCACTTTGGGAGGCTGAGGTGGGAAGATCGCTTGAGCCCAGGAGTTCTAGACCAGTCCAGGCATAGCAAGACCCTGTCTGTTCTAAAAGGAAAAACAAAAGGTGTGGTCTTTCTAGGTTGCAGAGGCTGGGGCGTCTTTAACTCTTGGCCTCAAGTGATCCTCCTGCCTGGGCCTCCCAAAGTGCTGGGATTATGGTCACTCCCCATGCCTGACCCAAATTTGATTTTTATATTATTTTTTTCTATATTAATTTTATTCCCATCTTAAAACAGTTTCCAATCTTATTTACTCTGGGATAGTGCATAATTTGCCCCCACTCCCCTTTTTTTTTTTGGAAACGGAGTCTTACTCTCGTCTCCTAGGCTGGAGTGCAATGGCGCGATCTTGGCCCACTGCAACCTCCCTGCCTCCTGGGTTCAAACGGTTCTCCTCCTGGGTTCAAGCTACCTCCTGGGATTACAGGTGCCTGCCAGCACGCCCAGCTAAGTTTTGTATTTTTAGTCGAGATGGGGTTTTACCATGTTGGCCAGGCTGGTCTCGAACTCCTGATCTCAGGTGATCTGCCTGCCTTGGCCTCCCAAGGTGCTGTGATTACAGATGTGAGCCACAGCGCCCGGCCAATTTTGCCCTTTTAACTGGACAATATTATTCTACCATAGACCCACATTTTCAGAAAAGATCCAAAATTTATGATAATGGGTATTTTCTATTCTTTATCTAAATATTGGGTTTCATGGGGATTATTTGGAAATTATCTAATGCAAATTTGGGAGTTTTTGCGTTTTTATGTATGTGAACTTTTTTGAAACTACTCTAAGTTCAAGTGTTTGGGGGCCTTTGAGATCATCTTGTCCGGATAGTTTTCAGACTATATCCTATAGTGCCATTTGGTGTTGTGGATGAATGTAATGTAACCTGTGGCTGGTCCAACCTTTTCTTACGTTAGCCTGGGCAACTTGCTCTTTTATATATATTATACATTGGGGTGTTTGGTAAACTGTTTGGTAAGAAGAGTTCCATGCTTAAAAAAAAATTGGAAAACTTCTGATTTACTGTAACTACCAGATTTAACATATGAAAAAACTGAATTTTGTTCTAACTTCCTTCAGTAATATTCCTATTTTCTTTATTGCCTTTTTTTTTCCTCTATTATCCCATTTTGGACTGATTACAGATTTTATGAGCAGAAAATCTGTGAACTAAATGTTTGTAATCCGATTGGGGAACATATTAGTTCTTTATTGAAATTAAGCATTATTAAGTAGCAATCAAACACGAAGAAACTTTCCTGTATTTGGGTTTTTTTGTTTTATTGTTTTTTAACCTACATAGGTGTCTTTCATTACAACTTTCCCAAGTAGATGAGGGACAGATGAAAGTAAAATACTTAGGAAAATTATAAAAGAAAATCCTGAATTTTAAATGAATTGAAGCACTCACCATTCTATATAGTCTTAGTGAAAACTGTAACACTAACCACAGTTAAGCCTTTTTTTGTGAAATTGAGTTATTGGTAATTGGTTCTGCAGTGATCTAGTTCATAGGCAGTCAGGACTAGTTGTGGAAGAACTATGTTTTAGTCTGTCTGGATTTGGTGTTAATTTTTTGAGTGCCTAAAGAAAAATATGAAATCTTCCGTGACGACCTGGTGTTGAAGAGATAGTAAAGTTACTGGCCTACCCATTTTACACTCATATCATAATTCTTTTTATGGCAGGCTGGGGGAGGGTATGATTGGTGCTTCCTAAACTCAGTTAAGTTTTTGATTTTGTCTTTCCTTGAGAGCAAATTAAATATTTTGATTAAGGTGTTTTGCTGGATTACAGATTGATGGGGATACTAGATTAATACAGATAGCAGATTTTATTCATGAACCCCATTAAACCTCAGAATACTTTTTTTTGGGCCTGGTGCGGTGGCTCATGCCTGTAATCCCAGCACTTTAGGAGGCTGAGGTGGGTGGCTCACCTGAGGTCAGGAGTTCGAGACCAGCCTGACCAACATGGTGAAACCCCATCTCTCCTTAAAATACAAAAATTAGCTGGATGTGGTGGTGCATGCCTAATCCCAGCTACTTACTTGGGAGGCTGAGACAGGAGAATTGCTTGAACCCGGGTGGCAGAGGTTGTGGTGAGCTCAGGTTTTACCATTGCACTCCAGCCTGGACAACAAGAGTGAAACTCCATCTGAAAAGAAAGAAAAAGAAAAAAAGATTCTTTTTTTGAAGAATTTTGTACCAAGATACTATCAGAATTCTGTAGGAGCCAGAAACTCAATCCCTAATAATTTAGTTCAAATGGAAACTCTTAATATAGGAAATAGAACTTATATTAGATATACTTTGATTTCCATATCTGTCTTCTAAGCTCCTGGATCTTTTAGTTATATTCTGATTATTTTAATTATAGATTGGAGATACTGAAGGGAGGAAGGGGAAGGCTTAGTGGTGAGGGATAAATGGTTAATGGGATATGAAAGATTATTATTGCTAGATAGCGGGACAGAACAGAAGGACTGTGAAAAGCTAAGTTCCTGGGACATGGAAGTAGTCTGCTCAGAATTCTTCACCGTTAAAGGTATATGTAGTTAAATGTTCCATCAGTAATATGTAACGTAGATGGACTGTACTTAATGAAAGAAAAGAGGCCGGGCGCGGTGGCTCAAGCCTGTAATCCCAGCACTTTGGGAGGCCGAGACGAGCGGATCACGAGGTCAGGAGATCGAGACCATCCTGGCTAACACAGTGAAACCCCGTCTCTACTAAAAAATACAAAAAACTAGCCGGGCGAGGTGGCGGGCGCCTGTAGTCCCAGCTATTCGGGAGGCTGAGGCAGGAGAATGGCGTAAACCCGGGAGGCGGAGCTTGCAGTGAGCCGAGATCCGGCCACTGCACTCCAGCCCAGGCGACAGAGCGAGACTCCGTCTCAAAAAAAAAAAAAAAAAAAAAAAAAAAAAAAAAAAAAAAAGAAAGAAAAGAATACCTTTTTTGCATGTAGTTCAGCAATTATACTGTTTTATCTGCAATACATCATCTTTTATCAGTAACAATGTAGTTAACTGGGAAATTCATATGTGGATATGATCAATATAACCATTCAACTAAAAAAATGGAAAGAATGTAGTTTTTAGAGTGTTATTAGCCCTATCACATGCAGTTGTCATTCACGGATACCAAAAGATTGTAGTCTTTTCCATAAATCTCATTGCTGGCTTTTTTTTGTTTGTTTTTTTGAGAAGGGTCTTGCTCTGCTACCCAGGAGTGCAGTGGTGCAGTCACAGCTCACTGCAGCCTTGGTCTCCTGGGCTCAAGTGATCCTTACATCTCAGCTAGCCAAGTAGCTAGGAGTACAGGCATGCGCCTCCACACCCAGCTAATTAATTTTTTTTTTTAGAGATGAAGTCTCACTATGTTGCTTAGGTTGGTCTCAAACTTCTGAGGTCAAGTGATCCTCCCACCCCGGCCTCCCAAAATGCTAGGATTTCAGACATGAGCCACCTTGCCTGACTTTCATTTCTGCTTCTGATCAGAGCGAGCTCATGGAGGCTGCATTATACTTAAAACCAGAATTCAGCTATTGGTGATGCCTTTGCTGTACACTGTGAGCATTAGCTTTCTTTGCAGTGGCTTTTTGTGTCTGTCTGTGTGTGTGTGGGTGGGTTCCATGATATTTCTAATGGTAATGATGCTGTTGTTCTAGACATCTAACTTCTATGTTTTCTCCTATACCACATTTCAAAGACAAGGAGGGCAGTATGATCTTGCATACATGCCAGCTAAACATCATTTGTGTTAGAAATTGGGTTCTAGTCTCATATCTTTCTCTTTTTATAGTTTCTATTTTTATTTTTCTCCTAATTATTGATATAACAACAGCAGCAAATAAAAATGAGAAATAATTGGTTAAAGTTTTTAAGGAATCACTTGTAACATTTTTCCCCGCCAAGTACTTTTCTAGGCTTTGTATACCACCATATATAAATTTAGCTCTAGCTGGGCATGGTGGCTCACGCCTGTAATCCCAGCACTTTGGGATGCTGAGGCAGGCAGATCACCTGAGGTCAGGAGTTTGAGACCAGTCTGGCCAACAGGGTGAAACCCTGTCTCTACTAAAACTACAAAAATTAGCTGGGTGTGGTGGTCGGCACCTGTAAATCCAGTTACTCAGGAGGCTGGGGCAGGAGAAGTGCTTGAACCCAGGAGATGGAGGTTGCAGTGAGCCAGGATCCCGCCACTGTACTCCAGCGTGGGTGACAAAGTGAAAGTCTGTCTCAAAAAAAACCAAAAAGCTGTAATCAAAGGATGGATACAATCTGAATACAAATTTTAAAATGCAAAATTCTAAAGTACAAAATTTTATTTATTTGTTTTTGAGACGGAGTTTTGCTCCTGTTGCCCAGGCTGGAGTGCAGTGGCACAATCTCGGCTCACTGCAACTGCCACCTCCCGGGTTCAAGCGATTCTCTTGCTTCAGCCTCCCAAATAGCTGGGATGACAGGCACCCATGACCACACCTGGCTAATTTTTGTATTTTTAGTAGATATGGGGTTTCACCATGTTGGCGAGGCTGGTCTCCAACTCCTGACCTCAGGTGATCTGCCTGCCTCAGCCTCCCAAAGTGCTGGGATTACAGGTGTGAGCCACCACGTCCAGCCCCAAATTTTAAAACATTAACATAGTATAAATGGTTGTGATTTTTTTGGCTGTATGTTTAAATAACATATTTACCAATTTTCATTGATAATAGCTTTGTAACACTGCTTTTATTTTTAGATTTGAATTTTCTCTCAATTTTATTTTTTACTACTATAAAAAGTGTGTTCCTCTTTTTTCCTCTATGTTCTTCCCTTAGGATAAATTTCCACAATGGGATCACCGTCTTTTCTTTGTTTTGTTACAGTGTTAGGATTTCATGGGCCTCAATCTTGGCATGGCAAATGGATGAAGTATACAGACTGAGCCAGGGCTGCTTTAAAGTTGTCTTAGATTACGATGTTAGCAGGCTTAATAGCATGTTGCTAGTTCAGAAATGAGAGAGGGGAGGGTACAGAATGTTTCCATTGTTCTCTGCCATAAGGTTCCACAAGAATCAGTCAAATGGAAACACTTGTCACCTATAGAACCCCATTCTCAAGTGGCATTTACTCATCGATTCCATCAGTTCATCAAACAGTTAACATGTATGTATTGTACTACCAACCACTGTGTTAGTCTCTGGGAATAGCCTTAGGGAAAGACATAGCCTTTGTCCTTACCTTCTTGTGGTGGTGGCACCTTAGTGGCATTGGTCCATAGATTGCTGGCTCTGTTTCAGGGGGCTTTGTGATAATTTTAATGTAAAGGTTTCCCCAAAATCTAGTAGATGATCAATCCTTTGCCTTTGATATCTGGGTTATATTTTGTCAATGCTATGTTGAAGCTTGAGTGATTGCAGTGATTTTGAATTATGTTTGGAACGTGGACAAAGACTCTTTAAGAGTGCATATTTGAAAAAGTTTGAAAATACATTTACTATGATATAAAATATTTGCAATGCTATTAATTTTGTACTTCTAGTTATAAGAAGAAAGGAAAGTACCAACATGCATGTTGTTGAAAGTGGTCTTGATAATCCCATCTTATATTAACTAGAGTAGAAAAGCTTTAGGCTTTTAACTTTTAAAGGTTTTTAAGATCAAAGGAAAAAAGTTACCACTTCTTTGAAGATTTTTAAATTTAATAACGTTTTATAATTAGCATGAATAGCTGCATAAAGTTTTAATATTTATCCAAAAGGGCAAGGGAATACAAAAGATTAAGAAATACAACAGAATGCGGCAAACTAAAATTCTAACCTTATGACATTACTGTGAAAGTGTAACATGTTTGCTGTAGAGTAAAATTTAGCATATGAGAAATTGATTTTGGATATGAAGTATCAAAAGTATCTTAAAAATAAGTCTCTGCTGGGCCAGGTGTGGTGGCTCACACCTGTAATCCTAGGACTTTGGGAGGCCAAGGTGGGCAGATCACCTGAGGTTGGGAGTTTGAGACCAACCTGACTAACATGGAGAAACCCTGTCTCTACTGAAAATACAAAATTAGTCAGGTGTTGTGGTGCATGCCTGTAATCCCAGGTACCCGGGAGGCTGAGGCAGGAGAATCGCTTGAACCTGGGAGGCGGAGGTTGTGGTGAGCCAAGATCGCGCCATTGCACTCCAGCCTGGGCAACAAGAGCGAAACTCCGTCTCAGAAAAAAAAAAAAGGGATCTGCTACAAAGAAACTGTGATTTGGACCCTGTGACATTATAATAATACAGTTCTGTTTTGAATCTGTTTTTAACCTGTGTTCAGGTTGTGGAGTATTCATTGTCATTTAACTCTTTCAAATCAACATATTCTTGACTCAGTATGTGGTAAGTAAAGTCTTCATAATTGGGAGGCTGATACACAAATTGGGCTGAAATACTGCTCTGCTTGTCACCATGCCTCCCTAGAATGAACTGCCTTTTGATGACCGGGACGAATTGAGTGAAATCGTAACGGACAGATACGGGGCAGACAGATTTTACAGTAGACTTGTAAAGGGAATGGAATTCTTTCCTTGTTATAACTTGGATTTGTTATCTTTTTCCCTTTTAGCCCTGCCTCTTTCTTGTTGCAGTCAGTTTCATCATCAGATAGAAACAGTGTTACACTACTTGAAAAGGTATATTTTAAAATGTCTCAATTAATTCTAGCCATACTAAATTATGAAATATTATTTATTTTTTTGATACTACAGTTAAATTTAATGTCTGTTTTTACATTTTTCTAATATTTGTATATTTTGTACCATATCTACTTATATATTCCTTATTGCTAAGTGGGAATATTGGAATTAGTTAATTCTGCCAGTGACATACAATTTCACAATAATGTTAACCTTTTATAGGTTCATGATAACCAGTGAACTGCTAATGAAGAAAGCTTCAAGATCAGCCATGATTATTAAGGGTTTAACATTACATATCTGTCTTCTTCAGGACACAAAGATGAGAACTCCCAAAGAAAAAAATGAAGCAATTTCTAAGAAAATACCAGAATTTGAAGTGGAAAATTCTCCATTATCAGATGTTGCAACGAATACAGAGAGTAGTACATTTGGAGGGTCTCTGCCAGCTAAAAAAAGTGATCCATTTCAACAAGAGCAAGATCATTTGGTAGAAGAGGTGAGAAAAGACTATAATGAGTATACTTAAATATCAGTTATTAGGTGGGCACAGTGGCTCATGCCTGTAATCCCAACACTTGGGGAGGTTTAGTCAGAGGAACACTTGAGCCCAGAAGATCGAGACCAGCATGGGCAACATGGTGAAACCCATCTCTACAAAAAAGTTAAAAAAAAAACCAGTTGAGCATGGTGGTACGTCTCTGAAGTCCCAGCTACTTACTGGTGAGGCTGAGGTGGAGGATCACTTAAAGCCCAGGCTATTGAGGCTGCAGTGAGCTGTGTTTGCATCCCTGCACTCTAGCCTGAGTGACAGACTGAGACCCTGTTTCAAAAAACAAAATCAAAAACAAGTATTTTCTCAATGGTGTTGGGATCCTAAGCGAAATACAGTTAATTATTGATTACCTGAGGTAATATGGGATAAAGAAGGCTACAGATAATAAAAATTATGGTTAAAGCAAAATTCGTTTTCCTCCAAAGTGAGAATAGATTCAATATAAACTTTTTTAGTTAATATTACAACTGTGGTGCAGAACCCACTTCCCATTCTTTAAACATTACCTGAAAGTATACAAATGATACATTTGAGAAATTTTGGAGATTAACCATTACATAGTTAGATAAATGTACCCAGGGTTTATACTTTATTAAAATACTTTGTCAGTGTTGTTTGTTGCTTAGCTGAGTTTCCTCTTTTTTTGAATATTAGAACACGTTGCAGTATCATATCACTGAGGGTAGGTTTTGTTCTTTTTGCTGTCTAAAATATTTCAAAAGTGATTAGATGCATTGTTGTTCATGAACTTGATTTTCCTAACCAGCCCCATCCCTTAACACTATTCTGCTTTTCACTGGTAAGTGACCACACAGTGCTACCATTGGTCAGCATTACAGAACTCAGTTCACGCAAGTTAAATTCTGAAGTTATTTGTTAATGTTATTTTTAATACATTTCCCATAACATGCTTTAGCATTGCTTGGATTTGGTTAAGCAGCCAGAAAATTAGTGTTACTTTTTATTCCTGAGAGACTGAATAAAATTTGGTTTAGTGGATATTAATTCAGGCATTAGACTTCCCTCCTTTATTGCATTCCCGATCAAACTAAATGAGCATTGTCCAAATAAGAGAACTGGATGTCAGACATTTTTCTTTTTTCTTTTAAGACAGGGTCTTGTTCTGTCACCCAAGCTGGAGTGCAGTTGTGCAATTATAGCTCACTGTAACCCCGAACTCCTGAGCTCAAGGGATCCTTCCACCTCAGCCTTCCAAACAGCTATGACTATAGGCGTGCACCGCTTTGTCTGGCTAATAAGTTTTTTATTTTTTGTAGAGTTGGAGACTCACTCTTTTGCCCGGGCTGGTCTCAAACCCGTAGCCTTAAGTGATCCTCTAGCTTTGGCCTCCCAAAGTGCTGGGATTACAGGCATGAGCCACCATGCCTGACTGGATGTCAGTCATTTTTCTTGTTTGTAACAGGTCTAGTTTCATGGTCCTTAAGTACTTTTAAATCTCTAAAGTTCTTTTGTTTCTCGTCATTGACTGTACACTAAAGAAAAGATGGTTAGTCTTTTTTACTTTCCTAATTTTGAAAGGAAAAACACATTTTCTGATTAAAAGAATTCATTTTAGCAATGGGATCAGATAGAAGAGTAAAGTCTTAAAATTTCTTGAAGCTCTGAAAGTAAAATTAATTTTCTTTAAGAGTATTCATGACAGGGGATATTTAGTGTTTGAATTCCCAGAAGCACTCTGTTTTCTTGAAGGAGAAGCCCTTTTTTTCTATGGGCCAATTTTATTTGTATTTTTTATTTTATTTATTTTATTTTTTTGAGACGGAGTTTTGCACTTGTTGCCCAGGCTGGGGTGCAATGGCGCCATCTCATCTCACCACAGCCTCCGCCTCCCGGGTTCAAGCGATTCTCCTGCCACAGCCTACCAAGTAGCTGGAATTATAGGCATGCACCACCATGCCCAGCTCCTTTGTATTTTTAGTAGAGATGGGGTTTCTCCATGTTGGTCAGGTTGGTCTCGAACTCCTGACCTGAAGTGATCCACCTGTCTCAGCCTCCCAAAGTGCTGGGATTACAGGCGTGAGCCACCATGCCCGGCCTCTTGGGCCAATTTAGTTATGGCTTCCAGAAGTTTATTTTTTAGTGATGTCGGGGGCAGAGTTTTTAATTTGCATGTTTTTTCTTTTTCAGTTTTATTGATAGTTAATAGAGAGCACTATTTTGATATTGGATACGTTTCTGTTTTAGAATGTACCTATACTTTTTTCAGTAATTTAGATCTGATAATGAGGTTTCTGGTGAAGAGGTATGTTGTCAGAATGATTCTGTTTCTTAATAGAGGTGTTGCTGTGCAAATTGATTATAATTGAGAAGAGTCTGCTTCCTTTAAAACTAGTCATTTTAGTGAATATAGAGCTGGCAAACTTGCAGCTGTGGTGGACAGCAGCTTAGGTCACTGCACAATTGGAACTGCCCTAAATCTTCCCGGTGTAAAGGTTCTTATCTATTCTCTCCTTTATAATGGGCTATCCATTTAAGATGAGGAAATACTTCAGTGTTTCATTTTACAGGATTGTACCTAGGTGGTCTATACAGAGTTGTTTGGGAACTTCTTTGTTGCTTATTTTTTGTGTTGTCTGCAATGGGAGGGGCTGCTGACTGTGAAGTGCTTATTATCCTTATCAGGGGTTTTGTTGCATTCTAACAATGGGCTTGGTAATCTTTGCTTTACTTTTTCTTTTCTGTTTTAGATTGCCAGAGCAGTTTTATCTGATTCACCACAACTCTCTGAAGGAAATGAAATAAAATTAGAGGAACTAATTGACTCTCTGGGTTCTAACCCCTTCCTAACAAGGAATCAGATTCCCCGAACTCCAGAAAACTTGAGTAAGTTAATAATGCTTTCTGTTATTCTTTTTTCTTTCTTTGACATAACCACTGTTAGAACCATGACCTGACAGATCTTTTTAGTTTAGTTGCCAATGATTCTTTATTTATGCTGTTGTACTCGACATACTAAGTGTGGGCATTCTCACATAACAGTCTTTTAGCAGTATTTTGTGCCTTTAGTGTACTCAGTATATAGAGATATAAAATTTTGATAATATACAATTTTGTCTTGTTGTTTACTTTGCTTTTATCTAGAAAGATCTTATTTGAGCATAAAAAAAAAAAAATCTCTTGCCTCCTGGTCTGACCTGTGATCCACATATTTATAGAGTACATAGGCTGTGTTCTACCAGTCATCAACCAGAAGCGTTAGCCATAAACCATGTGTGCGGAGGTCTTTACCCCTCCCAAATGAGTCAAACTGCCCAATACCTTTTTTGCTATAACTTGTAATTTGTGTAGGCAAAGTTCTGATATTGGTGTCCTTAGGTAGGCACATCATCTTGGTTGAGTAACTAAATAATTTCTGTTCTGCTGCTGATATAATTCAGTTTGGACTGAGCCACAGCCTAGGTCAGCAAACTATAGCCTATGAACCAAATTTGGCCCCACCTTGTGTGTTTTTGTATATAAAATTATATTGAACATAAGCATTTTCATTTGTTGACATTGTTTATGTCTACTTTCATGCTATCATGGCAGAGTTAAGTAGTTGACAGAATGGATGACCTGCAAAGCCTAAAATATTACTATCTGGTCCTTATAGAAAATGTTTGCCAAACTGTGGCTTAGATGGACAAGAAAAGATCTTTTTAATACATGTAATTCATATGTGCTGCGTAAAAATTGATGCACATTTTAAGAACACCTCTCTTTCTATGTGTTTATTTGTGTGTGATCAGTTGGAGATGGGGTTCTTTGATGTTGGGATTGGTTACATTGTGGAGCCTTGTCATCCAACCAGTATATTTATGGAACACATACTGAGTCGAGCTTTATCTTCAGTGTTAGAAATAATATGATTCATTGCATGCTCTATGTTTGGGAATGTTAGTAAATTGTTTTTTTCTCCCCTTTAATTGTAGTAACTGAAATTAGGAGCTCATGGAGAAAAGCTATTGAAATGGAAGAAGACAGAACTGCAGAACCAACTCAAATGGATGCTGAACATAGAGAAGTATTGCCAGAATCATTACCTGTGTTGCACAGTCAAAGAGAATTTAGCATGGACGATTTTCTCTTAGAAACCACTGTGTCAGATTTTGGCCAGTCTCGTTTGACTGAAGAGAAAGTTGTTTCAGATTGCAAGTGTGTGCATCAGAAACCTGTACTGACCAGTCACATAGATGAACCACCAACACAAAGTCAGTCAGATTTGTTAAATAAGAAAGTAATTTGCAAGCAAGATTTGGAATGTTTAGCCTTCACCAAGCTTTCAGAAACTAGCCACATGGAGACATTCTCCCCAGCTGTTGGCAATAGGATAGATGTGATGGGTGGCAGTGAAGAGGAGTTTATGAAAATAGTGGACCACTTAGAAGTTTCTTGTAACAAACCTTCCACAAATAAAACTATGTTGTGGAACTCTTTTCAGATATCAAGTGGAATTAGTTCTAAGAGTTTTAAAGATAATGATTTTGGCATATTACATGAAACTCTTCCGGAAGAAGTTGGTCACCTAAGTTTTAATAGTTCCAGTAGTTCAGAGGCCAATTTTAAACTGGAGCCAAATAGTCCTATGCATGGTGGCATTCTTCTAGAAAACGTTGTGGGAGGGAGACAGATTACTCCAGAATCAGACTTCAATATACAGGCTCTTCGCAGTAGATACGAGGCTCTGAAGAAATCTCTTTCCAAGAAAAGGGAAGAATCTTACCTCTCGAATTCCCAAACACCCGAAAGACACAAACCAGAATTGAGCCCTACTCCCCAAAATGTACAAACAGATGATGTGCTTAACTTTTTGGACACCCGTGATTTGCATACTGACCATACAAAGACATCTTTACCCATGTCCATCGGTGAAAGAAAACAGTCTCTTTCACCACTAATTAAGTTTTCTCCAGTGGAACAAAGATTGAGGACCACAATATCATGTAGTCTTGGAGAACTACCTAATTTAAAAGGTAAGGTTTAACTAGACCTATGCATATTCACCTGTTGAAGTTTTCTCTCAACTTTTGATAAAACCAGTACACAATGGATGCTGCATGACCTTTATTGTTAATGTGCTCCTCCTTCCTTCATTTAGGATGAGGGGAATGATCCCTCACTGTAAAGGTCCTTTCAGAATCTCTGTTTATGTATATGTAGTTACAATTGATTTGAGACAGGGGTGGGGGAAAAAAAAAAGCCCCCCCAACCTGAAACTTACTGCTTTTATAATACAAATAACTGAAAAGTAAATGTCATCAAAATCTTGCCCACTGGAAGGTGGTTTTTAAAAACTTGAGAAACCCAATTTTAAATATCATCACTGTAATGGTGTAGTATCTGGGAGTGGGGTGTAGAAATAAAAGAAGCCAGGTCAGTGTATTAGTTTCCTAGGGCTGCCATAACAAAGCACCATAAAGTGGGTGGCTTGGAACAGCAGAAATTTATTGTCTCTGAAGACAGTAAGTTCTAGAGGCTAGATGTCCAAAATCAAGGTGTTGACAGGGCCATGTTCCCTCTGAAGCCACTAGAAGAGGATCCTTCTTTGCCTCTTCTAGCCTCTGGTAGCACCAGACATTCCTTGGCTTGTGGCAGTGTAATTCTAATCTTTGCCTCCATTGTCACACGGTATTCTTCCCTTGTGTGTGTATGTGTCTTATAAGGACACAGTCATATTAGCTACTTAAGGGGTCACCCTACTCCAGTATGACCTCATCTTACTTAGCTAATTGTATCTGTAATGACCATATTTCCAAATAAGGTCACATTCTGAGGTACTGGGGTTAGAACTTCAACGGGGTATTAATTCAGTTCATAACAGTTAATATTAATAATTATTGAAGCTAGGTGATGGATACATTGAGTTAATCATAGTTCTCATCAGTTTTGTATGTTTGAATGTTTTCCTCATAAAAGGTTAAAAAAATCGCTCTTGTAGCTCATTAGGACAGATAAGGTCTGGTGATACAGATTCATTACGTATCACTCTGATTTGCCCATAATAGTTATACACTGACTGCTATATTGAAAAGTATTTGGCTGGGCACAGTGGCTCACGCCTGCAATCCCAGCACTTTGGGAGGCCTAGATGGGAGGATCACTTGAACCCAGGAGTTTGACACCAGCCTCAGCAACACAGGGAGACTATGTCTCTACAAAAAATTAAAAAATTAGCTGGGCATGTTGGCATGCCTGTGGTCCGAGGTACGCAGGAGGCTGAGGTGGGAGGATTGCTTAGGCCTGGGAGTTTGAGGCTGGAGTGAGCTGCCATCACGCCACTGCACTCCAGCCTGGGTGACAGAGCAAGACCCTGTCACAGAAAAAAAAAAAAAGGAGGAATGTATTGATCTCTGGAGAAAGAGAGTACTTTGGTGAGAATAATGATAATTTTATCATAATTGAGTATTTGCAAAACTATGAACTTTTTATCTTGACTAAAATTTGCAACTGCTTGGAATCTGTTCTATTTATTTTTCTTTGTAATGTTTGCTTATACTTTGTTTTAAAAATCAATTTGCAGAAGAAGACATTTTGAATAAGAGCCTTGATGCAAAAGAACCACCATCTGACTTGACAAGATGAAGACATACCTATTTAATATAACTATGATGCACTTAAATTGAAGCTATGCCACAGGATAGAAACTGAATTATAACTTAAATACATGTTGGAAGTGTAACACTGTTTTTCAAGGTTTTAAAAAAATTCCAAATGCCTTTTAGCCTTCTTTAATATTTTTAGGTAAGGAAAGTATGTTTGGATTTTTTCTCTTTGTAGGTATATGAGATTGAAATATGAAGTATTTGGAAAACAAACGTCAAGCAATGGGAAGCCATTTTGATTTCTTGAGTAATCTTGTAAGCATTAAGTGAATGACAAAGTAGTAGTGTAACTAATTTCTTATGTTATAACTTCAGTCAGTTAATATAAGGATGAGTAGTTTTTGTTGTATGTTCACTAAGTGGTTAATAGCCATTGAATATACTAATCTTTCATCGTAGAGAACTATACAACTTTTATTGTTTCTTTATGGAACATTCTGGCTAACCAGAAAAAGTGAGAAAAGTAGTACCTTGGGATGTGTAGTCAAGATGACAAATTTTAAGACTGGAAAAGCTCTAAACAAGCTTAATGATTATTCAAGTAGAATGATCCTAAGAAGTGATGTTTGGTGGAATAAAGTGCATGTGATGATTAAGTGAAGACTGGGGCAGAATGATTTAAAAAAAGGAAAAAGATGGAAGAAGATGAGTAGACACTTGTAAGGAACACTGTCAAACTATAAACCCATTCAGTGGGTTGTGTAACATTTATATTTAGTCTAATTTAGACTTTGATAATTTAACTTAATTCTACTTTTATATTTTAACAAAAATATAAATTAAAATTTTCATTAGTCTGTTTTATTGTTGTTGGGTTATTTTGTACTCCCTGTTGAGAGAAGGGAACAAGGAACAACCATCAAAATTCCTCAGTCCCTACAGAATAGCCCCACAATAACTTGAGAAAACTGAACCTGGAGTTAAATAACTTGTCACACTTGTAGTCTCCTGCCTCACTCCTTCAAGTGCCCTGCCTAGAAAAAGACTTGGGTCTAGCATCCAAGTGAACACATACTATTGCCCTCTGTGAACCAGGAGGAATGGAACAGGCACTGGAAGGGTGATAGTACCTACAATACCCTTTGTAGTCCCCATCTCACAACCATCAAAATCTTATCCACTAGCCCCCAAAAAACTGGCAAGGAAAGAAGGTGGAGGGGAAATTTATGGAAGTAGATGGCTTAATAGTTCATCTCTCTTCATTTATCTTGGACTGCCTTTCTCTAAGTTGTTTGTCTTGTCCCAGTGTGAAGACTCATCTTTTTGTGAGAAAAGACAAAATGAAGCACATGTAACTACCTTCTTTGCAATAGAAAAGCAGAAGAAAAAAAGCTTCTAAGTTGCTGTTTTCTTTTATTAGTTAATAAAACAAATCAGGGACTATGCAGGTCTATGGGGAAACCTTTAGTCTGCTTTAAGAAAACTCAGTATCTGAAAATCTTAGCATGTAACGCTATCATATCAGCATCTGCAGAAGTGCCAAGGCCATTGCTAGACACTTAATGTGTATTATTTCATTTAATTATATTTTAAATGTGCTTCCCTAGTAATTCTTAAGCTCAAGAAAGAGTTTGAGAACTGCTGCTAGGAAATAGAGATTCACATTTAACCCTGTTGTACTTTTAAGAAGCAGGTATGTTGTTTCATATATACTTCGGTAGAGATTGTTAACTATCGATAGGGAAGCTCAAGTTCGCCACTCAAGTCTGAGAAACCCTTAATTACTGAGAATCAAATGAGCAGAATGTCTGTAGACATTTTGGATTTGTAAAAATCACGTTGTTGAGTTATACCTGTGATAGGCGGAAAGTTTTTGGCATTCTTTCCTGTTCTTCATATTCCAGTACCATAAACAAAAAATATCTCAGATCTGTCACTTTCTTCTCCTAAACCAAAGTGATTGCGGCTTTTTGCCTGCAGCCTTTTCCCTATCCAATATCTCCTGCATAGTTACCTTTTGATCTTAAGAACTGTGTTGATTGGGTCACTTCCTTGCCTGAAATTCCACTAATGGTTCATTGTTAATTCTAAAACAGAGTTCAAATTTAAAGGCATGTAAGTTCCCCTATAGCAGATTTCTTCTATTCCCCCTTCTGCTGTAATCTCCCTTTTTTTTTTTACTGAAATGCTTCAGTGAGCATGGGTCTTTAGGGGTCTTGGTTTACAATTTTTCTGAAGCAGGAATACCTTGCCTTCCTCTACTAGGTTTACCACAATTACAGCTCTCTTTTAAGCCTCAGAAAAAATGTCACTTCCACCTTGAAGTCTTAATCCACGCTTTTTATATCCATGTGCCTATTCCTTCTCTGAAATCTCCTATGGTTTATCTTAACTTTTTATTCATTTTATGTCCCACTAATTGATTTTATTATATATTTTTTATGGTTGCATGTGGTCTCTCTAGTTATAGCAATACATACATACATACATAAATACATACACACCTATGTAAATGTGTGTCGGGAGTATGTATTCACACACAGATACCCCAAGGCCATGTGTCATCTTTATCAATTGTTTAAGTTTTGGAATTGTTTAGTTTGCCTCCTATATCATGGAATAAATGGTAAAGAGGGCTAATTCATTACTGTAAGTGGATTTCTCATTACATTCATATCAGACATTATATAGAATGTACTGTTTTGTTCACTGTTTGTAAGATACAAAGGTGTATAAACTGACCTCTACATCAGCTTGAAACCTGAGATAATGTTAAAATGTTCTAGTTATTTTAAATGTTTAAAGAGAACCACCATATAATGTTGCTAAACATGAAAAATGTCATCAAGTGGAATAAAGAATAGTTGAAGTTAACAATTGGGGGAAATTGAACTGAAAACAAAAATACGAGTATTTTGAAACCTTTTCTTTACCATGAGTCTCTTGACTATGAAGTCAAATTTATCTAAAGGAAAAACAGGAATTCTGGAGACCTGTGTAAAAGCAGACTATTATCTTCCTACTGTGAGTGTACTAAAATTAAAATATGTTTAATGACGTTTTCCTCAATGTAGAAGTATTGAAGTAAATGTTTCTTTTATGTTGCAGATACATAGTTGCTCTAGAGATCACCTTTTTCTTTAGGCACTGTGAATAGCAAGTCCGCATCCTAAGCTGAAAATATTTGAGAATCCTCTATGGGAGTCTTTGTAAATATTTTAAATACTGTTGTTTTCAATAAATATTTTATACTATCTGGCTCTGGAATTTCCTGTATAATATCAAAAAGAACTATGCCCCTGCAAACCTTAAGATGATCACATATAAAGGTATATTAATAACCTGATCAACAAATTTGAGAGGTTCAGTGATTCCGGTAAACATGTTTTGTTACTTCCATTTTAATTACTAGATTTACTGTACATAGTATTTTAAAATGAATTTTTAAAGTAATATCTATACTGTCACTTTTCTCATATGGAGTCTTTACACTAATGTATTGCCAATGGCCCTAATTAGGTAATTTTTATAAATTACACCTGAATAGCTTCTTACTCTTCATAAGTAGTGTCATCCACATCTGCTGCTAGAAAGGGTTTAATAAGTATTAAATAATTTTATAAAGCCTTAGAAATTCTAAAGCCCTATCACTTATATATACTGTCCATACAAAGATAGCACCTCGGGTGTAAAATGAGAGGCTTAGAGTTGATCACAGGTCTCTTGGCTCTAAAATACTTAGCTTTCTTTTCAAACAATTCATAAGGCAGCTATTGCTGGAACTGGAATGGGACATTTTAGATCTGTTTGCCCATTTTACTACACATTGCCAATCCAAATTAGGAACCTCAAAATCCTTTCTTAAAAGTAGGTGATCCAAGAATCTGGTTCAGTATTATCCAATTTCCAGAGAAATGCAAATGGGAAAGTGATCTTGCCCAAAATGAGTGAAACACTATTCCTTGAGGAAGGTCACTTAGCTTCCTGGGCTTCAGCTTACTCAGTATGTAAATACGGAATTATATGAAGGAATAATACACATTTAAAAAGCTAAGACCCATCAGTGCTGATCTGTGCAAGTTATAAGAACAAAAAAATTGCCGTGTGCAGTGGCTTACGACTGTAATCTCAGCACTTTGGAAGGCTGAGATGGGCGGATCACTTGAGGTTAGTAGTTCGAGACCAGCCTGGCCAACGTGGTGAAACCCCCATCTCTACTAAAAAATACCAAAAATTAGCTGGGCGTGGTGGTGCATGCCTGTAGTCCCAGCTACTTGGGAGGCTGAGGCACGAAAATGGCTTGAACCTGGGAGGCGGAGGTTGCAGTGAGATCGCGCCATTGCACTCCAGCCTGGGCAACAGAGCGAGACTCATCTCAAAGAAACAACAACAACAAAAAATAAAAAGCTATGACTCTTACGGTTAACTTTTCAATGGAAGTAATGGGGTGTAATGATGAGGAGAGTCAGTAGTCAGATTGCCTGGGTTTAGCTGTATGACCTTAATAAGGTCACAGCAATTTGCTCATCTGTTAAAATAGCGATCAAAGTAACCTACCACATAGGTTGTGAGGATTCAGTAAGATAAATGCACACGTGCTTAAGAACACCTGACATTTAGTAAGGGATCAAATACTGAAATAGGTTTCACATCCAGTAATTTTGGGAAGAATGGCTCAGTAGATGGTAATGGTAGTTAACACAGGACCCTATGCACGCTATGCGCTAGGCACCGTTCCTAAATACCATGTTGAATTTAATCCTTTTAAACATCCTTTCAAGTGGGTTTTTTTTTTGTTTTTGTTTTTGTTTTTGAGATAGGGTCTTGCTTTGTCACCCAAGCTGGAGGGCAGTGACACAATTATACCTCACTGCAACCTCTACCTCCTGGACTCAAGCAATCCTCTTTTTTCAGCCTCCCAAGCAGCTAGGACTGTAGGCACCCCCCACTATGCCTAGTTAATGAAAAAAAATTTTTTTTTTTAGAGACAGGGTCTCACTATGTTGCCCAGGCCGGTCTTGAACTCCTGGTCTCAGGTGATCCTCCCACTCAGCCTCCCAAAGTGCTAGAATTACAGGTGTGAGCCACCACGCCTGGCTATAAAGTAGTATTCTGACCCACATTTTACCAATGAAGAAACAAGTGTAGTGAAGTTAAGTACTTGCTCATGTTCACAGAGCTAGTAAGTGAAGGGACCAGAATACTAACTCAGGTGGTCTAGCTTGAGTCCATAGCATAAGCACTTCTACAGCTGCTACCAAACATCACTAAAATGCTGGGGGCTAAACTCACAGAATCAAATTTGCCAGTCAAGCAATACTTGTGGGCAGTCAGAATCTTTAGATTTACATATTAAGCACTTTCGAGTTATTTCAAATAAGGCCATGTTTTAACTTGCTAACACGTTTATTCATGAATGAAGCCAAGAAGAATTTATAAATGCATTTTAATACCTTGCTGATAAAATAGTAACATTCCATCTTTGCAATCTGATACGGAATACAGGAGATACTGGTAAAGGCTTTGATGTGCATATCTATTATAACCAGGTAATGAGAACACACACGAACCACCTACTTTAGTGTTACATCATACCAACTTCTCAGAAAGGCCAGCTTCAAAGCTCTACTGGGTAGCCGAGTAAATAGCGTCCAATGTTTAAAGACTGGGGAGCCGGGGAGAAAGATGAAAGGAGTAAGCAGCACACACTTCAAAGCCCACTTTTAAGCACACGACATTATGAATATTAAAAATAAAGGATGCAAACAAAAAAGGCAATTCAGCATTTTCAGAAAGAGCATTATTCAACGCATAAGGAGACTGTGCTTGGGGCCATCCACTCTCTCCAGCTTCTCAAAGTGTTTCCGGGCATTGCGAATGTTGATCAGAGTGGCCGCAGAAGGGATCGACGGGTCTGACATGACCACCATCACGTACGTGTTTGAGGTGAAGATGTCGATGAAAGCAGCGAAGTTGGAATTCCTAACTTCCATGCTCTGGAAGGAAGCGGCCAGTTTACTGCAGCTCAGCTTGAACTGTTTGATGATGTTGCTGATCTTCTCAAACCGGTGGACGTCGCGCTGCTCTTTGCACTGGTAGTGGGAAATAACCAAGAACGTAGCTCTTTCGAACAGCAGAACTTCATCGGCCTCAATGATTTGGGCAAAATTCCTGAGGTTCATCTCCAGCTGCTGAACGTTGGGAATCAGCTGGTAGACGATGCTGGACCAGGCTTTGTAGAGCGTCTCATCCCAGATGGACGTTCGAAAACAAGCACACTCCAGCGGGCGAGACAGACGCCTCAGGTCTTCCTCTCGCTCTTTAAAAATCAGGTCGCGCTGATCCTCCTGAACCAGATCCATTTTGTGCACCAGGCAGAAGATTTTGGCGTCAGGAGAGTTCTGGAGGATGGCCTCCAGACACGACTGGTAATAATGCATGTCCTTTTCCAGTTCGCGGCTCTCCACGTCAAACACGTAAATCAGAACTTCCACGTTACGGAAAATATTGTCTCGCTGGCTGGTGAAGTAATTTTCCATGAAGGTGTCCTGACCGCCACAGTCCCACAGGTTCAGCACCAGGTTCCCCAGGAATCGGACGTGGGAGTGCTCCACGTCAATGGTGGCCCCCAGGCGCCGGGTGTCGCGAGCAATATAATTGGCGAAGATAATCGACCTCATGCTGGTCTTCCCCGACCCGCTCTTCCCCATCAGCAGCACCTTTTTCTTCATGGCTGTATTTGGCATCACCCGCCGGGGCCGCCGCGGACTGGGCCTGAGGGCGCGGCCTACACGCAGCGCCGAGGGAGGGGTCGGGGGCTGCCGGAGACTCGCAGGCGGTGCCTCGCTCCGCTCCGCCGCGCAGCTGGGCAGGCAGGAGAGGCGAGAGCGCGAACCCGGGGCTGGAGAGGCCGCAGCGGGGCTGGCTCTTCCTCAGAGGGGAGCGCCTGCGGCTGTCGGTAGCAACGGCTTGGGAGACGCGCTTGCCTTCCGGAGAGGGAACCGCTGCGTCCCCGCCACCACCCACTTCCGGCGGCGATCTCGCGAGAGCTTCGTCCCTCCGCCGTTCCTGCCCGACGAGCTTTGAAAAGCTGCTACTCTAATGAAACCCAACCTGGGCAGCGTGAGCCCTAAGATGGAAGGGAAGCCCAAGGACTGCGGTCTTTTGTTCTGTTGCAGCTGGGTTTGCGGTTGCTAGGGGTACGTGTATGGTTGGCAGGGGGAAATGCTGCCCTCTGGTGGCCAAAAAAAAGCCCCAACCACCACCACTACCGCAACTGGCTTTAGGAGCGAGGTGTGCTGGGCGGGTTTCCGCAGGGGCAGCCGACTGATGAAGTGGAGGGAAAGCCTAACTTCCCAGTCCGCTTAGGCCTCCCCAGGTTCCCTGGCCCAGTGAGTACAGGGGCAGGGCAGATGGAGAATGTGCAGATGCGGAAAGTGAGACTTAGACAAGTTAAGCGATTGCCCACCGCTGCGCAGCTAGACGATAGCGAGTCCCTCCTGGGAGACATCCTGGCTTCCAGTTGGTGCTTTTAATTCCTTTCTCACATCTGCTTTTCCCGTAATCTCAGAGTTTAGAATTTATAATTAGAATTCCAAAGCTCTAGGAAACGATAATATGGAATCCCATGCATTAGTTCTATCCTCACAGTAACCCTGTTAATTAGTAACCCTATTTTCAAGTGAGGGAATCAAAGGTTAGAGAGGTTAAGTTACTTGACCAAGTTACACATATACTAAATGATGAAATGGAATTTGGTTTTAGTCTGACTACAGTCTATTTGCCTAACAATAGGCCACCCTGTGCCCCTCTAAAAGCGTAATGTGATTCTGCTCTTGGTCTTCAAGTAGATAAGAGAATCAGTGTCCTCCAGTATCGTTCATACAGAATGAATGAGAGTCATCAGGATACTGAAGCCTCTATATTTATCTTAAAGTCCTTTTTTTTTTCTTTTGAGATGGAGTCTTGCTGTATTGCCCAGGCTGGAGTGCAGTGGCATGATCTCAGCTCATTGCAACCTCCGCCTCCTGGGTTGAAGCGATTCTCCTGCCTCAGCCCCCCAAATAGCTGGGATTATGGGCACCTGCCACCACCCCCGGCTAATTTTTGTATTTTTAGTAGCGACGGGGTTTCACCATGTTGGCTAGACTGGTCTCGAACTCCTGACCTCAAGCGAGCCACCTGCCTCGGCCTCCCAAATTGTTGGGATTACAGGCATGAGCCACCGTGCCTGGCCTAAAGCCCTTTTCAAAGT